TTGAAGAAAGGTCCTACAAACTATGTATAACTGGAATCAATGTAAAAAATCCTTATCAAATTATTTCGGTAGCCCCCCCCCCCCCCCCCGAATAGATATATAGTGGGCATTCCAAGTACGCCCCTATGGTAAACAAATGAAACAATATGAGTGGTAGCCAAACAACACAGTTGTAAATACCATGTCAGTTTCACACTGTTAGAACGAAATGGGGGTCTTATTTTAAAACGTTGAACTTTAAAGTTTTTAAGTTCTTTTCAACAAGATAAGAATTATAAATATATGCTATTATAAACATACTACATAAAACATAGAAGATAAGTGGGTGGAAACCGAGCGGCTTAACATGAATATATCTTTAATTTTAGTAAAAAGCTAGATATCTTCATATCTTTTATTTTTTTTCTGAGAAAGAACACAAGTTTTTAATACTCCATATACGGGACATGTAGATAATTCATTACTCTTGTTAGTTACAGGGACATGCCAATAGTTTCCAAGGAAACAACTAGGACAACAACATATCTTACTGCAGTGTGAGTGTGTACTCTCCAGATCCTTTATTAGAAGCATTTCTCACAAGAAAAGTTCCATCTGAGGTATCTTTCAGCTTCTCATTTGTTTCCTCCCTGGAAAGAAAATAAACAATCTTTAGCCTCAAGAATGGAGTATATTTATATATACTTGGATTCAGAGTGCCAACAGAATTAATATTTCTTTAAGGAGTGATACCAAAAAGTATAGATACTCTCGGAGAGTGTAAAGACTACTGTAGTAGTAAAGAATAAGAATGTAACCATTTGTAAGTACATCCACTGACCCGTTAACCTGTCCACTTGTTCCAGCAGTACACTTTCATCTTGTTATACTTTTTTTTTCCTGTTGTTGGTGGTTTTTTTTTATCTCGCGTCTACTTAATTATGTCTTCATGCAGTTTTTGTCCTGTTGTTGTTGGTGGTTTTTTTTTTTATATTTCTTCTCACAGTTCACAACGTATTAAAAAAAACAACTTGATGAAAATAACGTCAACAGCATTGGCACAATTTTAGTTTGCGTTATGGAATTATCACAATTAATTTACTTATTAATTACCTTTTAGTTCCGATCTATTTATGAAACTTACTTTTGAGTACAATTTCTTAATAATGCCTTAAAAATTTCTATTATGTTCTGACGTGTCATTTGTTTATTAATTTTGAAATAATTTTTCATAATTCTTCCATGTATTCTTTGGTACATTTTGTTTATAGAGAAGATAATTGTATTAACACTTTTTTGGATGCTGTTGTTGCCTAAAACTTCTCTATTTTGTAGGCTAGAGACACTGATGAAGAAAAGATTCATCTGGATTTACACGACGAGACAGGAAGTTGGCTTAGGTTGGTTAAACTCGCGATCACACCACACGAGGCAAATCTTGTTGTTTTTGTGGAAGGTAAAATATTTTTTAGAAAGTTATCAAACATTTACACCTGAACAAATTTTCTATATCACCGACAATTTTTCAGAATTTGAAATATGTTTAAACTTCGGTGTTTGTTATTATCACCTACTGTACCGGATGATAGAGAAAATTATGTTCAAAAACCGCGAAAAAAAATGGTTTGAAGCGAATTTATGATTTGACTTTTGAATCAAATTACTCACGGAATATCCCCTACACTGAATGTTAAAAAAGATGTGTTACGTTTGAACGCCAGTTTGAATCCTCTTGATTTAGTTACACTAAGCAGAGTTACAAGTTTAACGGTTTTCTTTCCAATTTCTAACGCCCCCCCCCACCAGTGGCACAGCGGTATGTCTGCGGACTTACAACGCTAGAATCCAGGTTTCGATACCCGTGGTGGGCAGAACACAGATATCCCATTGTTGTAGCTTTGTGCTTAATTACAAACAAACCAATTTCTAGCGCAAACTAACATGTAACAGCATTGAAGTGTTTCATTAATATGAAAACCTCCACCGTTTAAAAATATTTTTAAAATTTTTTGGTGTTACTTTTAACATATTTTTTTGTGTTACCTGATTGCATTAATTGAGTATGTTTTTGTGATATATATATATACTCGACTTGAGTGTTGTTCCATAAAGATGATAAGGATGTATGTAAACAATAAATTTCCATCATTATAAACCTGAAATAGTTTTCTTTGGTAACTGCATGTTTGGTTGTTAAATATAGAACAGTTATGTAATCTTGTTACAGGAAACGACGTATGGTGTTCCGTGTTATGTGATACAGACGAAAATGTCGAACTGTGTGCTTGGTATAAAATCACCTCTCGAATACACTCATCAAACTCCAGACGCTGGTTCCCCTTGGTGCCGTCTATCCCTGAATGGGATTGTTATACTTCTGTTTCCAGATACAAAATTCCACATCTAGAAGAATATGATAAAAGCAAGGACTTTATGGAAGAATCTCAGGATCTTTCTATAAATAAATCACCCATTAATGATGAAGTTCTCTTCCAGAAAAAATCATCTATAACCAGTGAACCTTCCTCGGATGAAACATCAAATGGTGAACTATTGATCAGCGTTAAAAAAGAAAGGAAAAGCCCTTATCTCTTGAACAGCTCGAGCGACGATCATTCCTCAGATGGTCATTCGAAGAATGGAAAATCACAAGCGAATGTCAGTAACAGCTCACCCCATTCCCAGGTTCCTTGCAGTCTTTCCCCCTCACTACCAACAAGTAAGTTAATCCTAGTTTGTATATCTACTAAGTGGACACTTTGTTAGGGCAATTCTTTCTCTTAATGTAGGGTTGAACCACTTTTCATTACAAAACAAAAATAGACACAGCATACCATAGACTCCGCATAATGTTGGAAGGTGATTTTCTTTCGATTGTAGACTATTTGTCGAAGTGGGTGGTGTGCATATATCGTCAGAGGATCGCGACGGCGAATTCAAAGATGAATTTCATCCCAGAGTTGCTCAGGTGAATTACGTTTCGATGAATCTGCTGGCTAAGGAAGATGACTGAAGTTATCAGCTCTATTCATCAAACCCATGTCATGTAATACGCTTTAGGTGAGGATCGTGGTTGGCTTTTGTGTTATTGCTTTAGGTGAAGGTTTTGGTTGACTGTTTGTTATCGCTTTAGGTGAGGATCGTGGTTGTTATTGTATTATCACTTTAGATGAGTATCGTGTTTGATTGTTGTGTGATTGCTTTACATGAAGATAGTGATTGGTTGTTATGGTAGTGATTTAGATGAGGATTGGGGTTGATTATTGTGATAGTTATTTAGGTGAGGATCGTGGTTGTTATTATATTATCACTTTAGATGAGTATCGTGGTTGATTGTTGTGTAATTGCTTTACATGAGGATCGTGATTGTTATGTTGTTATGGTAGTGATTTAAGTGAGAATTGTGGTTGATTGTTGTGATAGTTATTTAGTTAAGAATCGTGGTTGATTGTTGTATTATCGCTTTAGATGAAGATAGTGATTGGTTGTTACGGTAGTGATTTAGATGAGGATTGCGGTTGATTATTGTGATAGTTATTTAGGTAAGAATCGTGGTTGATTGTTGTATTATCGCTTTAGATGAAGATAGTAATTGGTTGTTATGGTAGTGATTTAGGTGAGGATTGTGGTTGATTATTGTGATAGTTATTTAGGTAAGAATCGTGGTTGATTGTTGTATTATCGCTTTAGATGAAGATAGTAATTGGTTGTTATGGTAGTGATTTAGGTGAGGATTGTGGTTGGTTATTGTGATAGTTATTTAGGTACGAATCGTGGTTGATTGTTGTATTATCGCTTTAGAGGAGTCTCTTTTATGAAACTGAAAAAAAAATGCAGCACTTAAGATTGAGAATGATGAGAAACAACATTTACCTTGGATGTTATTTGTCCTTCTGAGTTCAACTTCTGCCACAAGAACACTATTACACCACTTAAATATAGGCAAGGTTATAGCCTCTTGTGTCAGCATAGAAAGAAGAATGAAACCAGACTTATCAGATCACATTACATGCTTCCGTTCATTAAATGTTCATAGGTTTTGTTCCATTTATGTCACTCAAGATGTTCTATCCTGTTTACATCAGACACAAGCTTTTTTCAGATCGCTTGGTTTTCGATTGCCACATGATACTTTTCTAATCTTCCTATGATATAGTTAAAGATAGCTGAATCTAGACGGAAACAGATAGTTAGAATACAATCTGACGTCTCTTGCTTCATATCTGCCCTTCAGCAGTTACCAGTGTGTCATAGTATTTTCTTAGTAGTAGAAGTATTCCTTTTGATTGTAATTTTTGATTAAACTGGATGGGTGACATCATTGAAGAGCTGGTCACAGAAACAGTCTTTGTCGACGATGCTCCGTTTGCATCTACTATCACACCCCTTGAAAACTCGAAGTGATTTTTGCTCTTACCGTTAGTCTTGCAGACTAATCATGATATGATCTAGCTCTATATTTACATAGCTCAAACCAACTACCTGAAACATCGCATGGTCAATCTAATTTGCAAATAAACTGAAGTTTAAAAAAACACGTGTGTGGGGAAGGGAGAGATTCTTGATAACGCGACTAGTCAGTGAACATGTGGTTTAATATTTCAAACATTACTGAAAGTGCTATAGTTTACGTTTGGACTTAATGAGTAAAATCGCCTAAAATTTATTAGGAAAATCATGTGTACAACCAGACAATAATAAAGGGGCTATTCATAATTTTGGTTGATATTTTTCCTATAGTTCATTTCCCTTTACGCATCTAAAATCTCCAGACGAGTTTTTGCAAGCACTAAATCGGGGAGTGGCTAAATTTCAAAAAATAAATGAAAGTTGTAAGAAAACGTTTATTGTAAATTATTTATTTATCTTGATAAACAAAAGTTGATTGATTATTTTGGATATGATAAGGTTACTGGCAAACCTATTAAATATATATATATATATTTCAGGGAGCCCCTTTACTTATTTTCCGTTTTTTACCTCTCCAACAATACATACATCAGGACCTACCGAAACCAGCTCTTCATCAGTAGCAGAATGGCCGTCAGGTAAATCATACTTCGGTTTATAGATGATGTTAACGAAACAAATTTTAATATATACAAATATGTAAAATAAGGTTTAAAAATGGAAGAAATTTGCCGAATAAGAAGAAAATGGTGTTTGTTTGTTTATTGATGTTTTTTCTTAGTGAAAAGCTACTCAATTGGCTACCTGCACTCTGTCCATTACGAGGAATCAAACCCCGGATTTATATGTTCTAAGTCTGTAGATTTACCACTGACCCAGCGGGTAATAATTTGGTAAAGTTAATTAGTGACTTATTAGTGAAATGCTATAAACTCGGCTTATCGAGACTTTTTCAACTAACTAGTTTGTAAGGAACAGTCACACACCAATGACTTGTTTCACCAACAGCATCTATCTACACTTTACCAAGTCTTTTACTGGATAATCTACGATCTGATTTGCATAATAGGTTTAATTCAATGTTATCGCATGCGTCGAACGTTCTGAGTCACCGACGTAGGTTTTTCGTAACTGGATTACTGAAATTCCACACTAATATGTAAACTTCTCTCAGGCTATTTGTATTACTTTTCAAGCGTGAGTTTTATGATTACAGTAATAATATCAAATCATGTTATCGAATATTATTGTTTCAAGCTAGAAGTAGCAAGGTACATCGAACTATGAACTGTATATCAGGATAATAGAAATAACGTTTATATTAATTACTTGTTTTCCTACAATCGTATTTAACTCGGTTTTAATGTAACAGAGTTGTTTATGTTTTTAAACTGAATATATATATACTCATAAAGTATGAAGTAAAATACCCGTTAGTTCCGCTCCTTTTAACTATTTTTTGTGTAACAATATGATTTTTTGTTGTTCAGATGGAAAAAATTTAGCGACACCTAGGTGAATCTATTTGAACTATCTTTATGTTTGTTGTTTTTCGTTTGTTCGAAAGAAATCATAAACTTTAGTCACATATATCGATTTTTTTCTTTATGTATTGTACTGCGTGGTATCAACTGTTTTTCTTATTGTGACTTGTATATCAACCGTTTAACAATTTTTATCCAATACCATGTGTTTAATATGAAAATTTCCTATATGGATCAAATTCACACGTTTTATTTTTTCACCATTGTAGGATTTATATGCGAACCTTGTGGAATTACATTCAGTAGCCAACGTACTCTTCAGGCTCATTGTCAGTTTTACTGCTCCTATCGACAAAATAGCGGCCTCGACGACGCTGGAAATGTTACACAAGTAAACTCTCCAAAAGAAGGTAGATGTCGCTGCATTTTATGTCCGCTTTGAAGCGCGATTATTTGCTAATCGACGTATTGAAGAAATAAATTAATTGAAAAACTCTTAGTCTAAAATTATTAGTACATATTTAAGAGACTCTATGCTTCGGCCTATCGAATATTCATCGTTATAACCCATGACTACCACATAGCATAAACAAAATATTTATCACTATTCGAAACCTTACGCAGGTAAGGGAAGGACATATATTACAGTCACCCAATTGCAGAGGATTACTTGAAATATTAACACAATTTCTGATGTCAATAACACTTTAATTAACTTATTAAGTTTATTAACAATAGAAGTCCAAGAAGTATGCGAGATTTGCCGATGTAGTTCAGAAATCTTCTAGTTAAATGCAATACACACAGTTCTTAAAAACTCCCCCTCCCAAATAACACTATCGCAACTTCGTGCAACCTACATTAATATCGTTCGGTTGGATAAGTCATGAGTAATGCGTTATAAAATAATAATAGAGGTAAAGTAAAATTAACTCACATTAGCATAAAAACACATTTTAGTTAATAAAACATAAGAAAGTGATCTTTTTAAATATTTCGGGCAAATGTTTGTTAGGACTGAAGACGTCGTAATTATTAATTGTATTGTGTTTATGCTTTAATTTTCCAACAGTGTCAACTCAGAAGTTAATTCATGCTAAGCCGAATTACAATTATTTATGTAATGTCATGACGACTTAAATGGTTTAAATTACCAAAAGTGATTGAGAATGCGCTTTAATCAAGTCATATTTTTTATCTTCATTAACAGATCATTGTTATAGAACTTAGCTAATTCATAAAAACAAGTCATTAAAAATATAAAATCTTAGTCCACTGTCCATTGGCATTGTTTTACATTTTTAAATATTTGAAATTTTAGATTGTATATTATAATACTGTTACATTTATTGTGATTTTAATTTGTTCTACTGTTATTTAAATCCAAGAGACCTGAACTTTCAACCAATCATCTACATTGCAAAACATGTAAATGTATTTTAAAAATGTATAATCAAAATTTAGAGTAATATTGATAGTTTAAAGTGTAAAAGGGTTTCAAGAGCATAATATTGTTTTCCTCAAACACTTGTTGGGCATACCTGGTGGTCTGGTTTTCACTTTGGCTGGTTTATCTGGTTATCTAATTCTTTATAAGATCATGCCTTTTTATTCTGCTTTTCATTTCATCTATCTTCTCATGTACCATTCTTCTTCTGGTCATTATGGGAGCACGTAGGTAGCGCTTGAGGTGGATATTCTTGGTGTAGGTTTTTAACTAACATCAAATGCTTCCCCAGAGAGTAAACTAACCAGAAATTTATATTATTTATCTGGCAAAAACAAACCATTAATCGAGTCCTTATTTGTTGTTATCTGATTTCTGCCTGTATTGCTTTTTGCTCCCATAGTGGCTCTCTCGCCCAAGGAAGAAGGAATCGAATTGTTTTCCATTGCAGAGCGTGCAAATCACTTAGGGTGTGTTCAAAATCGTTTTTCAGAAGATTCTGAGAGACAGATATGTGATGAGGACAGCGACCATCGATCTACTTCTTCTAGTTCAACAGAAGAAAAACATACAAAAATGGAGAATCAAAACACGGTGAGGAAAACAAAGACAGACCTACAGTTAGTCAATTCATTCCTTTCCAAAGTTGGAGAACAGAGACCTTTGGAGAAAATACCCCCCAAAGAATTGGATTCTGTCTTAGCGAGTTTTATTGTAAATGTCAAGAAGAGAAATGGGGATGATTATGAGCCTGATTCCCTAAGGGGTCTCTTGAGTAGCGTTGATCGCTATCTTCGGAAGCAGCGATATCCTGTTGCTGTTTTCAGTCCGGCAGGAGACAGTTTTTCTAAGACGCGCGAGTCTCTGCGAATGAAACAGCTACAACTAAAATCTCAAGGAAAAGGAAGTCTTTCTACAAAACACGTTCCTCTAACAGATTTTGAGATAGAGAAATTATTTCTTTCAGGACAACTTGGATCCCACTCAAAAGATTCTATTATCAACACTCTATGGTTCTATAATTCTATTTTCTTCGGAATCCGATCAGCAAAACGGCATTATGAACTTCGGTGGGCAGACATAGTTCTTTGTGAACTTCCCAATGGTATGGAGTACTTGGAATACATCGACCAGGAGACCAAGAAACCCAAGGAAGGTGTGATGGGAAACTTTCGAATATACGCTAACTTAAATCGTCCCGATAGAGACCCTATACACATATATCGTCTGTATGCCAGCCATCGGCCAGAATGTATGAAGAAAAGTGACAGTCCGTTTTACCTTGTTCCTAACCACTCAAAGGCAACATACAACAGCTCGTGGTTCAAACGTCAGCCGTTGGGGGAAAACAGACTCGCATCACTCATGAAATGTATGGCTAAAAAGGCAGGACTTTCCGTTGAAAAACACTTCTATAACATTACTGTTAGGCGAGCGCTGATGCTAAGATTACAATCTAAGATGTAACAACAATAAAATCATTAAATGAATGGAATATTTATCATATAAAAATATGCTTTATGTTGTGTTTTTTTGAAAGTTTTAAAGCAAACTTAAAGAGATAATGCAAAGTTCCTAATTCTAAATGAAATCATGAATGTTGCATGTAGTACCTGAAATAGTATACTGCTAGAACTAACTTTTCTTCATTTCAGTGTAGAAAAGTGTTAAATTTTCCAAATTATCGGTGAAACATTCTATCCAGTTAAGTCATTTTATTTTCCCAGTATACTAAAGAGTTAAATTATCGAAAAAATACTCTATTAATTCAAAACATTAGATTTTTTTCAGTATACAAAAACTGCATGAAGACATAATTAAGTAGACGCGAGATAAAAAACCACCAACAACAACAGGACAAAAACTGCATGAAGAACATAATTAAGTAGACGCGAGATAAAAAAAACCCAACAACAACAGGACAAAAACTGCATGAAGACATAATTAAGTAGACGCGAGGTTTGTTTCTTTGTTATTAAGCACAAAGCTATACAATGGGCCCTCTGAATTGGGCCCACTACGGGTATCGAAACCAGATTTTTAGCGTCACACATGAGATGGGTTTCTTTGTGTTATAGCTCAAAACTGCACAAAATGGGGATCGAGCCCCGAACACATAAGATGGGAATAAAAAACTCTTGACGTTTAGTAACTTAGTTTTAAAATAAAAAATATTATAAAATAGAGAAAAAGGAAACGCATTTCTTACCTCCTTGGGTTAGCAAAATAAGTGTATAAAGGTAATGAATGGGAAGTCGTTATTGGAAAATTGCACCTACATGTACTAATCGAGTATAGTATTGTAATCGCTTTTATGGTTTTTAACATTCTAAAACCGACCTGATTTTTATACGCGAAAAATGGCACTAACACAGTAACAGTACAAAAATGTAAAATTATATCGATGCCTTCTTATTTACTTCTCACAATCTAACTTTCCTATAAGAAACTTGGTGTGCTTACACAGTAAAGATGACAAATATAACGACATACTGATGCCTTCTTATTTACTTCTCACAATCTAACTTTCCTATAAGAAACTTGGTGTGCTTACACAGTAAAGATGACAAATATAACGACATACTGATGCCTTCTTATTTACTTCTCACAATCTAACTTTCCTATAAGAAACTTGGTGTGCTTACACAGTA